CAATTCAAAAATATTTAACTAAAAACAGGAAATAAAATCGAAATCCATGTATTTTGGTGTCCTTTTGATGAGAAAGTATTGATAATATTAGTTTAAGGAGAATCTCTGAGGGGGCTCAGCCTCCGTTGCCTCCTCTGAGGAGCCGCCACTGCTTTGAATCAGATTATTTCAACTTGAGGAATATATGCTGAAATTCTGAACAGACCTTTTAGGGACACCCTGTATATTAACTTGGGCAAAATAATGTTGGGTTAATTTATTGTATGAGTATTTCACTCGAAGGAGCTACTCTGTTAGCGAAACATGTCATGTTATTAGGAGTTTTGTGAAAATGTCGATTTTTCAAATTATTTTTTAATTTGTCGAGTTCTTGTGTGGTGGATTAGTTTTCGACATGATTTTAATAATTTTCATGTCGGTTGATGACAAAATATGTCAAAGCAATAAAAAAAACCTATCTAGAAATATTTTTGCAGTAAAATCGTGAGATATTGCGAATACATTATACCTACTATATAATTATTATAATATTCTGATTGTTCAAAATGAAATATTTTATTGGTGGATAAATACGAGAAAAAATAATCATTGGTATACCACTGTCAATCATCATTGGGTTATTGACATTAAAAAATCATGAATTGTTGTAATGTGCTGAATCACAAATAATTTCATTATCTATATAATTTCCTTCCCAAATGGATACCTACTTCATATCAAATCGGCTATATATTTCCCCCTTTACCTATTACTAGTATAGAAATAGTAGAAAAACGGGAACTTCATTCGAATTACAATAATTACACACAACTAGGTAATACAGAAAGTAAATAAAACCCTACTAATTATGAACTGTGGAAATAATGCCGACTATATAATTACTAACGATATCATGATCGATGCATGATGGAATAGATCTATTTTACTTTACGCCGATAATTCTAAAGGGTGAAATCAAAGGCGCATCTTGGATTTTTACCCGAGGAATAAAAAATTCTAAATAAATAACATTTACCCGTTCCAGTCGTCATACATGCGGTTATCTCCGGAGATGACGATGGCGAAAATAGGTATAGAATTCATTGTTTTCATAGGTGATATAGCAACTCACGTAAAATAAATGTCAACCATTTCAAGTAGATTATCAGAAACATCTCATGATATGATAACATATGATTATCCTTCAGAGGATATAGTCATCTTACGAATCATGAAATCAGAGGGAATGAAGGTCGTGTCATAGATCATTGTGGAGTAATTTGATACAGAACAATTTTGAATTTGAATAATTCGAATTTCAAATGGTAAGTGGATAAATGTCCATTATTCTTGTTCATTTAAACAAAGCGTCACTAACTATAGATTGAATTTTCCTAAGGTTTCTGAGAGTGAAATTTCAAGCGTGGTGACTTTTCGAATGCTGATCATTTTGAGAATTTTTTTGAATTAATGTTTGATAATTCATTTTGTACATTAACCACGATTGAGAATCATTTGAACTCGATAATTCGACAACTCAATAGCTCAAATATCTGGAGGACGCTCTCCTCAAATTGAAATAACTCTGCAATTCTAGTATCAGAATTGAATTATCTTTGCAAAAATGTATGATGCAATTATAGAGGAAGTGGCGCTGGAAAGAAGGAGGTTGAAGTAAGTAATAAACCCACCATATAAGTCAAACAGTGCCCTTGTTTGGGAGATATTGGGGTGGATATACCTTCAAAAGGACCACCTGGTATAACTATAGGTAATGTGGTATGATAGGCATCCGTACAAGATCATCACCAGGGAGATTTCTTATAATCTATCTCAGTTGATAGGTTCATTTCTGGAACACATGATTGAATCAACTTTTACATCGAATCTTTCGAAAAAGCAGCCGCAGAGTGTAGATCTTTGAGAACCATCAGACCACAAAGCAATGCCTTAACAACGATCAGATTATCGTTATTGAATGGTCATGAGAACTATTTTATACTCAGAAGTAGGATATTTTCAACTCTAAAGTCACTTGATCCTATCACATCGAACAACCAGATCTGAGAGCCAGATATGCTGTGATTTCTTCGTCCAAGCAGGCGAAGTTGGTTCTAGAGTGACCTAAAACGTCTTCTATGAAAGTGTATTATTTATTCTATCAGATTATCTATCGATTTTCAAACGACCTAGATCTAGATCAATATTGATATTGAGATTATGATAATAGTTGAAACTTCTTATGATTGTCCTTATTCCGAATACGATTATCTGGTTCCTTCCGAACTCCTGTGCAGCTCAAGTTATAACTTACTTCGACACTGTTTCCGAATGCTTCGGGATGTTTTTGTGATGTATGCGGTCGCCAAGGCCATCAGATGACGTTAGGATGACATTCACAACAATGGGAGATCATCGTAACTCCAGGCATAGATTGAAAGTTAGACGTGTTGTCCCGTATAGTTTTTAATGTCATCACAACGTCGTTCGTCTGATGACCTTGGTGATGGCGAGTATTATAATTCAATTCAACCTCTTTTTGAAGAATGTTCTGGGAGCTGAAGACGCCACTGAATAAAACAAAAAAATCCAAATGAAAGCAGTTATTCCAAATGTATATTTGATAAACACTCGCTGATAATCTCATTGTGAAGTATTAATGAGCGCAATCATTTTTTATTTCTTCTTCTCAACTAATTATACGTTGAAAACAAGGATACTGTGAATTAAAGATATTTCGTGAGCGAATGGTAATATTACTAAGGGTTTTTAATTGCAGCTGACGAATTATTCAGGGAAATGAAGCGATTCTTGTATATAGATTGTTGTCGTCTATTTAATTGTTTTGTAATTACTGAATACTTCTGTTACTGTTTTCTTCCATGATGAGTCTTTACTATTTCTGTCACGATATCATTATTGAAAAATTAATAGCAAGCCATTCTGCATTTGATGAAAGATGATAACCATGTGATTTATTTAGGCCACTGACAATATTCGTTTGAAGTGTGCTCAGTTTTCTGTTAATTGTCTAATATCTAATGAAACATTGTGGCGGCTTTTTTGAATAGGTAGAGTTATCTTTAATGTTGTGGAACCAATAGTAACTTTTCAGCTTTGAGAAGGCACCTGTTTGTGTCTCGATAACCAGGTAGAAGGGTTTTCAGAATGTACATATTTCTTGTATTCTATCATTAAGAGATAGTCAGGGAGTTTATATTGGACAAACATTTCGGAATATAAAATACGGATTCAAAGAACACATTGCTCATTGAAATGTCAAGTTTTAGCTACATATTTTTGAGACTCGTCATTCATTTCTAAATCGTTTGAATACCATTTTTCTAATTGCAACGTCCATCTGATTGATTATATTCATAGAACAATGATTTCATTTCAGAAAGACTTTTTAAATAAACATGGTATTCATTTCAACTTTTCGAAGGTAGTTATATTATATTTATTTCTCGAAATTCTGGTAATCCAATAATGGAAATAGTTCAGTAGAATTAGTGAACCCACAATTCCATTTTTAAGTCGAGATGGTCTTGTCCATGTATCTGTAAATATTTATACAACGTTATTTATTCGATCGATATGATATAGTAATATAATATATCGCATTATATAGATTAATCTTTCACTTCCCACATGATAAGAAGCTTATAGGAAACCTTATTAAAACATTAACAAAGACTTCGCAGATTGGATTAGAATAGCTTCAACTTTGATCTAAATTCCAAACAACTCTATTAAGGTTGAAGAATACTTGATGCAGTTACGTTAGGAGGAGGAACTGAACTGAACTTAATACTTGAAGCATAGATTAACGACTCCCCCTTGAAGAGATGTGTTCCTGTGATTTGCAGTGTCTATGATGACTTATCCTTACCTCAGATTCCGTCAACCAGATATATTTTTTATAATTATCAGAATTGAACGAACGATTTTGTTTGATACTGTTACAATCAGATTTTTTAATTCCGGTGTCGGACGTTTGTTTTTCACAATCAATTTATCTTCATAAGACAAAGCACTGAATGGGTTCACCAAAAAGTATTCCACTAAATCGCAATCGTTTGAAACACTCCTTTTTCAGAAATTTATAGAGCCCCTAACCATTAACCTAACAAGAACATAAACAATGCACTCGCGCTGGATTGTCCGCAATTCGCGACGCGACACGACAAACACGTGCTATTCGGGTGTATTCGGGCATTTGCATTGCGCGTGTGGGTTGCGAATTGTGAAGGAGTCTAGCCTCCTATAGATGTTGCCAAGTTGAATATTTTACGCGTGATTTGCAGATTTCAACGTGTGATGCGTGGGCAAGCACTGTTGCCAATTCGAAAATATTTACCTAAAAACAGGAAATGAAATCAAAATCCATGTATTTTGGTGTCCTTTTAATGAGAAAGTATAGATAATATCAGTTTAAGGAGAATCTCCGAGGAGGCTCAGCCTCCGTTGCCTCCTCTGAGGAGCCGCCACTGGCGTCTGCATTGTATTTGGGTTTGGAGTAGCGTACTATGCGTTGATGCTCTACAAAACAATGTGCAGCACAGAACACAGAGTATAATGAAGCGCTCTGTACTGCACATGGGTTCGGAAATACGCTGCCAGGACTATACTTTCAGGGCAGGTAATAAACGCGACACTACTCGTATTCTTCGGGTCTGATATTGCTACACACTGGATTGTACGATACGAAGCTACGAAGGCCTGGAAAGGACACATAAAATAAAAAAATAAAAACTCTTCAAAATTCCGACTTATAACTCGGAATTTTAAAATTCCGTGTTATAACTCGGAATATTGGATGTAAAATTCCGAGTTATAACTCGGAATTTTAAAATTCCGAGATATAAGTCGGAATTTTGATGTAAAATTTTGAAGAGTTTTTATTTTTTTTTATTTTATGTGTCCCTTCCAGGCCTTCGTAGGATTGTGTTCTCAGCATGTATTTAGTTGGTAATACTGATGGAAGTTACTTTTTATGCCTAGAATTTTTTATGACTCACCGTGAATTGTTTTTCACCGGATGGGCCGATGGTAGGTACTCGATTCTGGAGATCTCTTTCGTGGTCCCATTTCCACCGACTGTCAGGAGTTTTCGCTGGACTGATGATGGTTCTGATCACACTGGAATCCGGTCTGATATCCGTAGATTTCATTTCTTGTTCGCATAAGCTTCCCGGAGACCATATACTATGTGTCCTCGATCGGCCTTTGAGCGATAGGTTTAAAGGGGCATCATCTTCTGAAACAATATTAGTGTTGAAGAAGTAGGAAAAATCTAAGTCGTCCCCACATCACATTCAATTTACCACATTAATTATGTTCGAGCCTAATTATAGTTTGATGGAACAGTTCCTAACATTGATGTAGAATTTGTAATTTTCCATCAATTAGCTGAAGATGAGCATATTTAGGCTCGGAAATGCGAGAATGTTGTTTATATTTTGACCGTTTTCGATCAAATTCTTGCTGCTTTACCGACATTTTTGCAATATTTTCATAACAGTATAGGAGAGCCGGCTGAAGATTTCTATACCGTCATCTGATAACGGAATGATTTATGGCGCAACGGAAAGTAGTTCATTGAACGGCACCTGTGCCAATCACTATCCTGAGCAAAATGATCAAAAAATTGCACTTTCCTGTGCGGAAATTTGCACTTGATTTCGCGATTTGATAACGAGATGAGAATTATGCCATCCGATACCAATTGAATGGAAAATCCCAAGAACCAACCTGAGCCACCTCTCAGTCTGAGCCAAAATTCACGATTTATTTGTCCCTATTATTCCGGACATACTTCCGTCATGTGATAAAGAGATGAAACAAAAAGAAAATGGATGTGAAGAATGTCTCTTGTGCGAATATCCAAACGTGCAGCTATTCAAACTGTTGAAGAAAGTAAGTCGCATCAGAGCGTCAATATTTCCGTGAATATTCCGCCCTCGTCGAGAGATAATATCCGATGGACCAGTTTGAAACTCATGCGGTCCTCACACTACAAGTATTCTAATCCACATGTTGAGTTTTACACTGGTCCATCGGATATTATCTTCAGAATATTCTCGGAAGTATTGACGCTTAGAATATTGTGACAGAAAGAAAATATATTTCTTTCAGTAGAAACAAGCTATTTCTGGTTATGGGTGAACCAATTTCAAGATTTCAGCTGGGTTTGTCGAACGTATAGAACTATATACAGGAATTATTGTTAGTATAAAAGAAAAACACGAATTTCAAAGTCAGTCGACCACACTTTATATAAAAGAAGATTAAAAAACAGTGACCGGTTTCGGCAGAACGGCCATCATCAGACTCTGCAGTACCTAAAATACATCATGAATGTATGGAAATTGAATTTGTCACTCTAATTCAAAAACTTACGATAAATATCAAAAAAGAGATTTTACAAAATCAAAAAATCAAAAAACATCATTAGGCCGAGATGTCAGGTAAATAAAATGTATCGATAAAAACGGCTGAACAGCCAGAAAAATCTGGCCCTAATCAAATTGAACATCGAAAAAACTAAGTTTTTTGTCTAAATTCAAAAAGTCACATGTTGACTGTAGGAAATTGATTCAAAGAATGAAAAACAAACAATTGACATGACAGGCTGACATACTGACATATGAGGCACGAACATCATGGAACAAAAGACTGATGGCGAATGAGAGAAAGGACTCAATATCATTAACTTAGGTTCCGAAAGTAAAGAAGAGAGAGCTCTGTGAAGGAAAAGTAAGAAGAAGAACTAAAGTTTTTAATGAGGAAAGAGAAGAAAAGAAGATATAAACATGGAAAAAGAAAGAAAGAAGAGGAGGAGAACTTGTTCTCTATGAGAAACAGAGGCGGAGCAATCAGTGAGTGAGCGGATATTTTGATGAGAAAGAATAAAAAGGATTAAAAAATCAAAGAAATTAAAAAAAATTTAAAAACCGTAGTGTGCGGAAAATGTGATTGCGATCAAAATTAATTTGATCGTTAAGACAAGTGAAATTGTGGTTGTAGAATTTAGACAGAAAACTTAGTTTTTTCGATGTTCAACTTGATTAGGGCCAGATTTTTCTGGCTCTTCAGCCGTTTTGAACGAAACATTTTATTTACCTGACTTCTCGGCCTGATGATGTTTTTTGGTTTTTTGATTTTGTAAAATCTCTTTTTTGATATTTTAATGTGACTATTGTAAGTTTTCTTCCAGAGTGACAAATTCATTCCACATTCATGATGTATTTTAGGTACTGCACAGTCTGATAATGGCCGTTGTGTCGAAACCGGTCACTGTTTTTTAATCTTCTTTTATATAAAGTGTGGTCGACTGACTTTGGAATTTGTGTTTTTCTTTTAAAATACATTGGACCACTCACAGTATGGATGATTTCAACTTTTTATTATTGGTATAATGTAACATATTGCATCAGCCAGGACTACATTCAGTGATATGCATCTGTATCTTCACAAGATACTATCAACTAATAAAATATCAATTATAGATAATCGCAGTTATGTTATACATGTACGTTATGTCAATAATCAAACAAATTTGGACAGCAATCCAGAATCTTCCTTATTTCATCACAGAGGGGTGCATATTCACCCCTTAAGCCCCTTCTGCCGGCTCCCATGCTTGGCAATGATTACTTCACAACATTTAGATTCGAAAACATCGAATTTGAGGGACGATGAATTGATTTTTCGCAAGTATATACACATATGACATCGTTAAATTAATAACAATACATTAATGATAGTGAATATAGGCAGTGTATAACCGAAGTGAAATAATTTTTACGAGGAAGTTAAAGCCGTACATACATTTATTTATGTCATGGTTTTTATCTGGAAACGATTTTTAAGCTTTTCTTTGAAGCTTGTTAATGTTTATCAAACTAATTGCTCTTCTAATCTCTATTTTGCTGAGGCTTTTGTTTTAATCGCCAATTAAAAATATTTATAAACTCGGTAGAGACATATTATTAATCGTATAGGTACCTACTTCAAGGAAAAGGTTTGTTGTTTGTTTTCGTAAGAAAAAAATTGTTGTGCTCCTTAACACAGATATAAATATTGCACTGAAAGATAGCATGCTGAACGGTCATGTCTATTTATATTATCATTATACCTACCCACATTATTTTGTAGTAGGTACATACCTACACCAACAATATTTTCATTCGATAACATAAGTTGAGAATAAGACATTACATCTTTTCTTTAGTTCTTGGTAACGTCCTCCTGAAAAAAGAAACATGATGCAAATATACCATTTAGCACCGGCCTGAAATTTGTCTATACACGTCCTGTTGAAATGCTCTCTTCGGAACTATAACGTGTACTATAATTATATTTGATTCACGATTTACGACAAGAATTGCCAATGTTGTTGACGTTCGATCAGAAAGAAATATTATTGACATACTTTCCTGTGGTGTTTGGGAGATATGAAAAAACTTGTGAGTGTGGCGTCACTAATAAACAGAGGAACAGCTCGTCTCTAAGAGGAATATACATGTGAAAACAATATTCTATAAGACCTGGTGCTTGGTAGATCATATTTGAGGTGGAATGTCAAGTAACATTTCAAACAGATGAAAAATATGATTATTCGTGAAGTAGCTTGGATGTTATGATTCATCACCTATATCTAGAGTACCTGCCTCAGCCGAGCATTAGGATCTATACAGTATGTTATATTAGCCAAATGGAATAAATTCCATAATAAATAAACGGGGACGTGTTTGTATAAACGCTCGGACACGTCGATTGATACTCTTAGCAGCGCATCCTTACCAACGAAAATTTTTTATACAGGGCGTGACATGTAACAGCGGCCAATATCAACTGACTTATTTCAAATGCAACACACTGTATTTCATTCAATTTGCGAATTCTTCATGAAATTCTATTCGTATTTCATGTACAATGTCCTGTACCATCTTCAACTGTTCCGGAATATTTGAGTGTTTTCAGATTGATTCCAAATTGTTTGACTTCAGCCAGCAGTTGCCAGTGTTAAAGTCGTTCGAATTTCAGTTTCACAGAACTAAAATGATTGAAATGTATTGCTATAGTGGTGAAAATAAATTAATATACACCTTGGTAGTAAAGAATATATTATTACCCCTCAGCTGAAGCCTTCGGATATAATCTTGGTCCCTGGGTGAAACTGATATTCTTCACTACCTTGGTGTATAAATAACTATTATTTCACCTATAGGAGAAAGCCATGATATTATAGTTATTAATTTTTGACTTCTGACCAAAACAACTCTTCAAAATATTTCAACAAAACATTATGTGAATATCGGCCATATAGAGACGAGACTTGGCAATGCTGTGCTGAATGCTGAGAACTGACCAGACAACGCCCACAGTCCTGTGTTATCACGTTTATTGAATCAAATGTCCGATTGGTTATGCAGATAATACAAGGACACACTTGGAAGTTACTCACTCATTTCATGAAACATATTTCCGAAACAGTATTGTTCATCAAATCTGTCTAGAATTTTCTGAAGAATTCAAATATTGAATGAAATACAGGGTGTTGCTTTAAAGTAAGAAAGTTGTTATTGGCCGATGTTACATACCAAACCCAGTATAGGAAGTTTTTGTGGAAAAGGATGGGCTTCTGAAAATATCAATCGACGTGTCCGAGCATTTTTTCAAAAACGTCCCCGCTTATTCATTGTAGATTTTTTTCCTTTTGAAGACCACAAAGCAAGAACGATGAAAGTCACTAGAAAGCGAATTTCAAAGTTCAAAAGTATATTTGAAAATTATACACAATTCAAGTTTTTAATCAAATTTTTTGACAACGGGTAATCATTTATCGGTGAAAACAATATAGGTGTACACAGACTGCTATGATTTTTCTATTTTTTTAAATTTGAATATTTGGTCGAAACAACACAAAAAAATAGCAGAAACGATGGTTGTCGTTAAAAAAACCTCAAAACGATGAAAGACCAAGATGAACTTTGTTTTCTTCTTCATCATAAAATTGAAGAACACACTATGATGAGATTAACGTGTATGCGTTATTGCATATACTGGCGATTGTTTTTTCAATAATATGGCGACCGCGCTTACAACGTTTTTGCTATGTCATTGACTTTTAGCGTTTTTGTGGTGGATTAGAGAATTTGTTTCGTGAATAACTTTCAGACTATCAGCGATATTGTCAAGCAGCCCAGGGCACTCGATTCTACGTTTTACTAGCATTTTTTTGATACTAATTTCTTACCGTAAAAATTGACTTTCAGCGTTTTCGCTGTGTGGTCCTCATTTGGCTGTTACCCACTGTATAAATAAAACTACTGATATTTCCATGGATATATTTGAATTTCCTGGCACTTACCACTATTGGATTTTTCCGGGCCACATCCTTGGTCCAACGATGTTGCTCGATCAGGACTCAAGGATTCGGGTCGGTGGGAGGGAGAATAGGGCAGGAACAGCCCTTGGATAGGATGCCACATGTAAGGAGGGTAGGGGGAGGTGACTAAGGGACTCAAGGAGTTGGCGTACATCAGAGCACTCATTCCTGAAAAGGAAAAACTCGTTTTTATGTAATGTCACTCGAGAATGGGATTAGCGCAGGTATATGCGCGGTCTGATAACCTGAGGTGAAGTATATCCAAAATGGTATTTATTTATTTGTTTATTTATTTATTAAGTCACTTCAATTATTGTGATTTTATATACGGCCCATGTCTACTTTCATTCGATAAAAATCGTATCATGCTGTCGTTTGATCTATGGCATCAGGAAATATGAATCTATTTTTCGAAAATTCAAGGAAACCAAATGGTTGAATATGACCAATCGAAGAAATCATCACCTAGCTACCTTTGTTTTAAAACTGATGAATATGCCACAATCATCCCCTTTAAAAAGCAAGTTAATTCCACGTGTCAGAGTACATTCAAGGAACATCAGAAAGTTAAACAAATTAACTATGCCTCATCATCGCACTTCCATGTTTCAGAGATCATTTGTATTCAATTCGATTCATCTTTATAATCTTTTACCTGAAGAGTTTGAACTTCTAAATATATATAAATAAATTCAAATACAAATACAAACAGTTTCTTTCTACTAATCAATGAACACATATTCACCCACGCCCCTGGAGGAACAGCCCAGCTTAAGAAGTATTTCTGCAATTCAGATTGTTTTTTTTTGTTTTGTTTCCCGATTTCTCATTGTATTGTAACATGTGTATATGTATATTAAGTATATCCTGTGACCTAATTTGGTTGAGTATGAGTAGCTATATATCAGCTAGACTTCGCCAAAATTAGTGTTGCGCACTAAGAATTTGTACCCACTCCGTTAATAAAGCCGATTATTATTATTATTATTATTATTATTATTATTATTTATTTGTAGGAATGCTAACAGGCACAGCCCAGATAATGCATTCACAAAATACTCAGTACAGATTTCAACTAAGTTTGAATCTAACCTAATATCTTATGTTGAAAATTCTTATAATACCGAAAAAACATATACCGAGCTACTTGTAGATACTTAATGAATATTTGAAATAAAATTAATGGCATCTACGTATAGCAGTTTTGAAAATATACATAGATGAATGAAATATGTCCACATCCAAAAATGAACTGTTATAAACGCTGAACATTCTGTGTAGGGGGGAATTTTGACAAGAATTAGTTCTGCAAAATGGTTCACTGAAGAGTTGATAGTTCCTCAAGTTTCGGGAGGGAGTTGTGAAACATACTTTGGATACCAGTGCTGGAGAATCAACGAGATTATTCAATATTTTGAAAAGAAAAATCATATCTCTCCTTACCCTAGAGTTTTCCTCAGATATAAAATTAAATGTTGAAGAGAGATTATCTGCACCATTTGCCTTGTAGTTGAGAAATCTTAAAAAACGATTTTGTATTCCTTCGATTCTGTTTTTATGTATGTTATAGTGTGGATTCCAAATAACTGATGCAAAGTTCAGTTTGCTGTGTACTAATGCGAAATATAATGATTTTAAAGCTGCAGTGGACTTGAAATGCTTGCAACATCTGATAATAAAACCTAGCATTTTGTTACAAGAAGCAATTGAACGATCTAAATGCTGGTTGAAATTCAATTATGTGTCAAAAATTAAGTCTTTAATCTCTTTCACTGTATAGAGAGTAACACTGTCAAAGTTTCATATGAGAAGGTATACTACGAGTAGAGTCCCGAGACATTATAAGAATGTATAGTACAATTGAGCGCGAGTTACCTTCGGTATTATGGGTCAATTGCGCGCGGATTAAACTTGTTGATACAAAACGCTCCTAACAAATACGTGAGGAAGGATCATATCCTAGAAAAGAGGCTACAATTTCTAAACAATCTAACCTCAAGTCATGGAAACCATCCATCCTTCTCAAAGCGGTCCGAATTTTTTCAAAGAAAAAACAAAATAACACCAAGTCGGCCGACCACAAAATTTGATCACACAAATTGTATTGTTTGTGACTAGTTTCGTCTCAAACAGCCATCTTCAGACACAATACACAGTTCCTGTAAACATATTTAATTTACAAAGATAATAAGTTATTGAGGAACAAACAAACCTATGAGGCCACGTGGAAATCACATTATAAAATAAAATTAAAAATTAAAGAGCCGTGGTCAGTTGGCCAAAAATCAGTCCGGTAAAAGAATGCTAAAATTTTTGAACCGACTAAACAGCCAAAAGAACCCGACTGTTATAAGGTATAAGGTTCAACATTGGTACAAACTTGGGAAAATTATATCAATTAATTCACTCATAGGAGTTTCATCTTCAAATAGCCATTTTTGTGAAAGACAGAAGCCAAGGAGAAGGCGAAGCGTCAAGCATATAGCAACAAACGTTGACAGAATACAAGACAAATGACAGTGACAAATGATACAAACCAAATGACATGGACAATATAAAAGTAAATTTTGAAATATTATGAGTTATGATACTATTAGAAATAATTTCTGAAATCAATTTATTACATAGTCCATTGTGCCTAAAAACCAAAAGGAAAAGTACGAGATGAGGTTGAATCAATAGTACAATTGATTTTATGTTTATATTATTATATCACTAATTTTATTTTCTCATCATTGTAAACTCACATTGTTATTCTAAAATATGCTTGGTTGAGTGGAAGAATAGCTATGAGCTAAACTCCGCCAAGTGAAATAAAGTCCATTTATTATTAATAAGATAAATACTCCAAGAAAAAGAAGAAATGTCAAGGTGTAGTGAATATAATCAAAGACGGAAGAAGAAGAAGATCTCAGGAAGATGAACAAATGGGCCGCCTTAAGAAAGAGGTCAAGGTGTAGTGAATATAATCAAAGACGGAAGAAGAAGATCTCAGGAAGGTGAACAAATCAGGGCCGGCTTAAGAAAAAGCATAATCTAACCTCTTCACCTTCTTCATAGAAAGCATATTTTTCGGAAGGAGACTACTATTCTAAACAATCCAACCTCACTCGGCCTTAATGAACCTTCTTCCTATAAAATATAATATATTTTGAAACTGATCCATCTCTTTACAAAATCGTAAGGAAGGAACATATCTTAACAAAGGGTCTACCTTTTCTACACAATTTAACCTCACTTGGCCTAAATGAACCATCTTCATACAAAGTATATTTTTCGGAAGGAGACTACTGTTTCTTTCATGAAACTCTATTCGTATCCAGTATTTCATGGCAGGTAATAAATGGGACTCTACTCGTCTTCTCTGGGTTTGACGTTTCTTTTGAAGTGAGTTCAGGTGCGACACGAGATCCTGCATTTTTTGTGTGAATAAATTTAGCTTTTTTTGGCATGACAAGAACATTTCAATCCAGAGTGCAGGTCCCAAATTCTAACATTTGTAGCTTGGCTGGCACATATTATTATTATTATGGGCTGAGAGAACTCAATAGCCATTTGGGTTTGCACACTCACCAACAAAGTACATGAAATACTATACAATATCTATCTACCTATAGGTATACATATTTTTGTAATTAGAAAATAGATCCGTTTTATTAAGGAACGAATTTATTTGCAAAAAATGACTGACAAGTTATGAATAACATAATATAACGATAGTGAAAAAGTATAGATACTATCGCAAAATGTCATAATTTATCTTTATTAGTAATCAACTTCATTTAGCCAAAGAGAGATTTATGGGAATTATTCATGATACTTGACAAAGTAGGATTGAAGAACCTATTATATCCCATTGCTGTTTTGATATAGTTATTATGCATTCAAAGAACAATTTTCGAAAATCTAGACATATTGATGACGTCGGCAACGTAGTACTGGCACAGGGATTCGTATTTTAACTCTGTGTGAATGTGGATTTTCAGAAAGTACGTCATAGGAATGGTGGAGGAGCCAAGTTCCTGTTTTATTTATGTTTTCCTGTAGTGAAATTTGATAATCTTTGGAAGAAGTCCATGGTAACTCAAAGTGGAGTGGTGTTGTCCATAGATGAAAACCAAAAGTCATCTCCACAACATTTATTAGAATGATCAAAGACAAGGAACATGTGAACATGGTGAAATTTTATCTTGAAAAAAAAACTTATATACCTATTGATTTTTTTACAAACTTCACAGTGAGATAAGAACCTGAATATAGGAAACTTCCCCATTGCTTTGGTTCCTATTCATACCTAAGGTAGTGGAGGCATATATGGCCAGAGAGATTATATGGCCCGCATGAATATTTCAAGTAATTTGAAGAAAAAAAAAACAGTTTGACATCGCTGCTGTGTTTAGGTAGCTTGGTACCACTCCCCTCAAAGACCGCATCGTGCACTCCAGTTCGGTAGACCTTGGAGGGATAATATTGTAATTAGTTAATTTTCGACATATTATTCACATAGCACACATCTCTGCGTGCGTACTCCACTACAAGGTAAGTAAACCATCATACCAGATGTTCCTATGAAATTATATGTCCAGTTCAAGTAGTTGATCAAGAAAAGAAATGTGTTTTTTTTTGTAACTACACGTCGGGTAATATAGCCCTCGGTGTGAGAGGCCTATATGGCCCAGGCCATAAAACTTGCTTATGGCCATACAGCCCGCTATTCACCATAAAAACCGCATATGCTCCTTCCTTGGTCACCTACAGACCACCACCTGAGAATCACTCGGAGAATCAGATACCAGATTTTGACTCAGAAGATGAAATTCCTCTCGCCCAACTAGTCGCAAGAGTTGAAGACATCAACAATGATGCTGCTAATCAGTAATTTCACGAGTTATTGCCCACACCAAATTATAAGAAGAAGCCAGCAGTTGTAAGAAGAAAAGCTTTGAATTACAAAGCTCAACTTGTTACAAAAAACATTTTCAACAAAGAGATACCCTCAACTTCTCAATCAGCTGCTGCATCAAACTCGAACTGCCAACAGGACTCATGGTATTGCCCTGTATGCGATAACGATGAAAAGCTTGATATGCGCATGTGTGTGATGGGTCAAATATGGTATCATGAAATCTGTGTTGGCTTGGAGCTTGATGACACCAGACAGTTTTATTCGTTCAGAGTGCCATTAATCAGCATACTCATCGTACAAAAATATTTGAGAGCGTTCAAGTTTATTTTTTTTATTTCAGTTATATTGAGATAACATTTTGCTTTAAGATTTGGTGTTTTTTTTGTTATGTATTTTTAATTTTTGATTTTATATATAGCACAAATATTTTGTTGCTGAATGTTTCTCATTAGCGAAGTTATAGTAATGTTGAAGACTTCTGTACGTTTATCCTTTCATTTTCTCAATAAACATTAAAAACATTAAGGCCGGCCATATATGCCTCCAGTACCTTACTCACCATTGACCAAATAGTTCTTGCTGCGCTGCAAGTCCTTGGGGTAGACAAGAGAAAACGCGCTGTGCCTGGAAGCGGACAGGGGTGATCGCGGTGACGAGGGGCTGCCGCTCCTGGACGACACCCCCGCCAGGGGGCTGCTGGCGGGGCTGCAGGGCGACCGGGGTGGGGTCTCGCCAGGGACGGCGTAGTGGGGCAGGCTGGCTAAGCGAGGCATCCTGAAAAGAGACTGACTTCACAAGAGACATTGGAACTTTTTTCCTGAAGGTTTTATTCAAATACACTTCTCCAAGAAATTGAGGTCCCACCAAAAAGTAGCAAAAAAATTTAGGAAATATCTTCGTAAAAAGTCGGTCAAAAGTATACTTGTCCGATTTGGACGTTCTTTGTTTTGAATGACAGGTTATTTCCTTCTGAACATTGATGTGCAAACTGTATTCGCATAAAATTTGTAACGCACCCTGTATGGTGTAATAGTTACACAATCGAGTTATAATTTGAATCACACTTCAGGTTTCTATTATACTTTTTTGAAATCAAGTTGTTTTCATCTATATTGGTAATATTAGTCGCGTTTTTTTGTAATTTTCTGGTGCAGGAATTGTGTAGGAACGAACAAAACAGCAAATAATGAAGAATGACATTGATGTGATGACAACCGTGTAGGAACCATGGATTCGTTAGATCACATAAATGAACCCAGGATGATGACGGTTTCATACTGTACTTTTTCAGAATGTGTAATGAAGGTATCCCAAAAAGTGAGAATTTTCATGAGATTATTACCAAAATTCAATTCTTTCGGAGCCATTTCAGAATGAATGTTTCCATGAGTTAGTTATACATGCACATTTATCCACTTTTGTTAGCTCATCTTTTTCGTCATTAGAAGTACCTACCTATTTCCTATCCCGTATTTACTATTTTTTCTCAGAGTTTTCGATTAAAACAAAATTAATATGATGCATGTCGAATCCCCTTTTTTGTCAAACATTCCAAAGAGTGCGCCGCGTTGCAGCCACATCTCGTTGGAGCCACATTTCGTTGCAGACACATCTCGTTGCAGCCACATCTCTTTGGAGCCACATTTCGTTGGGCCCACAGTCTCCGAACGTACCCGAAAGCTGCGCTGTTGCCACAAGGTTCCTTATTTTAGACTACTTTTTTGAAACCATCTTACCTTACTCAGCCTGAATGAACCTTCTTCCTAATAAGACAGTACTTTCTTCAGGAAGGAAAATATCCCTCTGCATAAAAAAGGACACTACTTTTTTAGACCAACTAACCCTACTTGGCCTAAATGAACCGTCTTTTCTTATTTTTAGATGACGCATGCGCTGTAATACAGTTGCGCTCGCAGACTGTCATTTATTTTATTTTTTGGCTTCACTTGGAGATCCTTGTTATCCGTATATGTTCAGTAGGTATATGGTAGTGTGGGCCCAACGAGATGTGGCTGCAACGAGATGTAGCTGCAACGAAATGTGGCTCCAACGAGAAATGGGTCCAACGAGATGTGGGTGCAACGAAATGTACCTTGAAAGAAACGTGGATTGATCAAGATGAAAGTGTCTCGTTAGGGCCACAATATCCTTTTCATCAGTATAATCGAGATTTTTGAATTATATGTGGCAACAGCGCATCGTTCGGGTACGTTCGGAGACTGTGGGCCTAACGAAATGTGGCTCCAACGAGATGTGGCTGCAACGAGATGTGGGCCCAACGAGATGTGGGTGCAAAGAGATGCTCCAATTCCGAACATTCCACCACACATTCGATGTTCTGAGACCGAATGGCCAGTGGTACCAGGATGATATGAAATTCCACAGAATAGTCAATAAATAGTTATTTATTATACAAGGGAAAAAAGTTGTACATTTTAGCTCCATAGCAATAAAGATTTTGCTGAAAGTGAATCTTCTGCCACAGTAAGGTACAATACTGATGTCGCTATCAGGAAATATGCCTGTGGCTGCAAGGTTCGTCGCATAGAACTGCACTCATTACCAATATTAATTGATTAATTAATTGACGGTTATTTTCAATAACGCATGCAGCGTACTAGCACATACATTCGAAAATTCTAGTACCTATAGAATATGAATTTATTGCATTTCGCTCTCGCCCATATCAAACGCTTCAATTCGATTAGCCCAATGCCATAACGCCATAACCAACTGAGAAATAAAGAGTTGTACCTACTCCGATATTGATTGAACGAACAAAAATGTCACAGCAGCATCTAAATAATATGTACCTATACTCATATATGGTTACTAATCAATGCATCTGTGTACAAATATAGTAACTCAATGTTCTTGACTTGTTTATACCTTACAATGGCCTTATCGTTGTAATTACACGTTCAATATGGCAAACAATTCGATGAATTCCGTTTTCAGCAATTGATCATGAAGTTGCATGTAGCAGTAAACCTGATGAAATATTTCATAGGCCCATATCTATATTCTGACTAGGAAGGGACAATATTGAAAAGGAATATTCTCAGATATAATTATGAACATAAAAAAATGGATATACATGTATAGGGAAATACATTGAGAATTCGCATTCGCAAGTTAATTTCATGAATGCTTTACGTTTCGTGGAAAAAAGCCATTCAATAATATATTAAGATTCATATTAATTTGGTGTCATGTGAATTCATCCTGTATATGCAGGGGCAGCTAATGCAACTTAAATTTATGTCGCCGTGATCACGCGATGGGCCATGATTTCCTCTATTGATCACCGAGATTGTCGCCCTAATTGTTCCTGCCTTATCGTAAACAGGGGAAGAAGACACGAAACACTGAATAATGAAAAAAAAACGAGGGGCCCACAAACAACATTGTTATTAAATAAGTATACCTGGTGGCGCACTTGAAACGATTAACCACAAACGCAATAATAATCCAATTACTGAAAAAACATTGAGATATGTTTATTCAACAGACAACACTATAGAGGTACTTTCCTGGCTTGAATTGAATCGATACTCAGGTGAAACCATCAGAGCTTCTGTTGGTTAAGCGGACCCTTCAAATGCAGTTTTTTTAGGCACTCAGTCAGTCAGTCAGTTCCGGAAAGAAATTAAAAATGAAACGATTGTATTGCCAATGTTCTATCTTCTTGGCGTAGATTCGCCTCGAAAGTGTTGAGATATTGTTTTTTGTTTTTTCTAAAGTCTATTATTGCAATATTGTATAGATTCATAATTCATGTGTGAATCTGTATATTCGAAACATGTTTTCATTTGCGTAGGTAGTCCAGTTATCTACAGAGATATACGTCATGTGGTGTCTAGAAAACTGGGAATGAACTTGGTGATGAGAGTTTTTTTTATGTTCTGGTATATAGCTCCTTTCATACAAAAATGAGAAATAGAGATGAAACAATGGCCATCTTGTTGAAGTGCCCACGTTACTTCCATAATTTCTTATGGCCTCTTTCCTCCTCATCAGATATTGAAATCCAACCCTGCTCAAAATGCGCAAACTAACAATGGGATTAGATAGATTTTAGTACCATCGTCAACTGCTTGTGTGCCTAGAAAGTCAGAAGTTTCAAACGTGCGTACATATGGAGAAAAGGTAGGTATTTGATTTTTCAAAACTTTTGGAGGTAATGCGAGTTCATGGAAATACTTCCTTCGGAAAGGATTTGTTTGACATAATTCAACGTTGACGACATTAAGAAGATGTGCTGACGAGCCTGTCATTAGTCTGAATTGTTTATTGCTAGAGATAGAATTATAGCAGAGATTTCTGGAAACAGTATTCTAAAACAGGGCGTATCGGATCTTTGTAGATCATGAGAAGCTTTCACGGAAATTCGACCACATATCAGCTGAAATGGTCGCTTCAGGTTGGTTGAGGTTAGAACAATTGAGACATCTGCATCTGCTGACTCAAGTGCATAAAGTCTTGACCACAGGTGAACCTGAATACCTTCACAAACGACTGAAAACATTTTCACAAATTAATAATCAATCATCCAGTCGCAATAGATCTACACTTGTCATTCCGAAACACAAAACCACACAATGTTCAAACGTAGTTTTTTATATAACGCAAGTAGATGTTATAATACACTGCCCAGGGAATTTAGATCTTACACTCTCAGTAACTTCAAGAGAAGATTGAAGCTTATTATTTCTACTGTTAGTTAGGTTCTTGCATAATGAAATCTGGCCATGTCATCTTGATTCTCTTCTGGTAGGTACATGTAACGAGCTACATTACTTTTTGCTTATCGTTTATTTTATCGTTTTCGCTATATTCATTAAACAATTAATTGTTTCCTTTAGTTCATATCTTTCTGGTTGAGTTGAAAAACAGCAATTTTGTTATTTTGTTTAATGTTGTTCTGCAAATGATGAATAAAGACGTATGAAGAGCAAAGATCACCTGCAAAGATGTGGTTAGGGCGAAGTGGTTACTCACAACATATAATTGATATGGAGTGGAGACAATGTTGGTGCCAAACTTGATCCTTGTGGTATGCCGGAATTGATGTCTATGGTATCATATTATACCCCGTCCACCACGCACATGGAACGTTCTGCCTGAAAAGGAACATGGCTGATGTGATGGTAAGCCACATAATAGTATAGTTTGCGAAGGTGTCCATGGTGCCGAACACGGTCGAATGCTTTCGAAATATCTAATTCCACAGCCACTGAAAATCCATGTTTTCCTAATGAAGCTTGCCATATATGGGTAATGTATAGGCAACTGAATCTGAAGTTGATCTTCGAAGGCGAAAGCCATATTGTCTATCATTGATGATTCCTGCGCTTTTGAGATATTTGATAAGCTCAATGATGATGGTTTTCTCCATCACAGAGTGCAATAGGCCTATAATAGTTGTTGAGCAGGTTTTTCTTTCCTTCTCTTTGGGATTGGTTGGACTCTTGCTATTTTCCAGCAGGATGGAAAAACACCCGACTTGTAGAGATGGTAAATCTTGCAGATCATCGGGTGGAATCTCACCATGACCGGTTTAGCTTTAATCGCTTTGAGACAAAGTAGAATGCGCCTGATAGTTTGTTGGCGAAAGACTCTTTTGACCGTCCGACTTTTAACGGATGGGATATCTTGCGGCACTCTTTCCTGGGGTTCTAAGGTGGAGTTTGCTGCGAACATCTCTGCAGAAATATTTTCTCTTTCGATGTTGCTGCTAATGTGCCATATTCAGAACGACAAAGTTTCAGAAT